TCCAGCCGAGATATCCATCAGCTCCAACCCGGATCCAACCATCCCATCCAGATGGCCTGAACCACAATGAAATCAAGAACCACCCAGAACTTCTTTACATATGAGGAGACTCTGTCCGGACGTCCATTTGACTCTATTCTCCAACGCCAGGAAATCAATTCATACAACAATCAAGGACCGTTGGTGAATGGTGCCTGCCTGGAATTTGGCCTCAAGGCTAAAAATCCCTATAAAAACCCCGGACAGTCTACCCTCCTTCGTGGATTTGGGAACACCTATACCTTTGGGTATAGACCCCTGTCCACCCAGCGCTGCGCTGTTTGTTTTATTGTGGTTTTTCCTCATTGTTTATTTTTTTATAGAAATTGTTTTATAATAAATTGTTTTTATTTAACCCAAATCTGCCTTTGCATTTATAACACTGTCAAAGACCTTTTGGGCAGGTGTCTAAAAACACCACTCCAAACACTACAAATTCCAAAAAGGGGCAAATTGGGCAAACTACCCCCTAGAGAAGACAGCTGGTGATCACATTCAGTGTGCCCCTCCTTCCTCAGCATGCCAAAGTATCCTCCCAACAGCCCTGATAAACCAATTCTTACTCAGTACTGACCAGTTCTTCATTGGCTCAGTGCATTTCAGGGTGGATTTTTGTCATCCCAAATGATACAGGAGTTGTGAATAGAAGAAAATTTCTTCAGCACCCAGGGAGAAATGAGTGCTCTGGGGAAAGGGGACTAGAGAGGTGCCTTCTTTGGGAAGCTTCTACCATGTTGAACTTCCCTGCTTCACTTTGAGCTCTTTGGAATTAATAACATTTCTTTTCCATTTCTGAGAGCCTGAAGTTCTCCTCAAGAAATTCATAAATGGACACATTCTTTGAACGTGTCTGGCTTGGAGCACATTAGTGGATGTCATAGCACAAATATTCATTGCAGCCAGCTTGAGAACATGGCTCCTATCATCTTCCAGCATTAAACAAAAAATGGAGCATTCATGAAGTATATTTGGCTATCTTCAGACATTCTTGGTCCTGTCCTGCCAGCTAGCTTTGTGGGAAAACAAAGGGCAATTATGTCCAGAAGGAAACAAGATGCAGGAGCTGCATAACAAACACTATTTATATTCTAGGGACACAAGATGACAAGTTGAGCCCTGCACTCAATACACAGTGCAAGAGCTCCCTCTCCCCACTTCCTTCAACATCTACACAGTCCTCATGAGACAGAAGTTCCCACACTGCTCCCCAGCCTCCTTCACTTGTTCTGGATGAGAGGGCTGTTGCTGTCACACAAAAACACACTTGGTCAAGAGCTGGCCAAGCTTGGGCTCAGCTATCTGAATAAAGGCACAGTCCTGAACTAAACACACCAGGTCTTGGTGAGCTCCCACAAGACACCATCAGGCCTCCCTGAGCTGCACCCAGCCTTAGCTTGGATAAATTGCCTGCTGCAGCACCAGGCATCCTTTAACTTTGTAACTTACTAGGAAACAGAACAAAGGCAAAATAAAACTTGTGTAAACAGCAGTTTTTAGTGAAACACACAGTATGTGACTTCAGCACGTTCTGCTCAGTCCCAGCTTTCCAGTTCAAGATACAAGCCAATTACGTGAATTGTTTTCAGCCCTCATGGCTAAGAACTCAGCCCCTAAAACGCCTCTCCTTTAGAGGTTTTTGTCATACATTCGGAACTACTGTTCTACCCACATGTGTGACAATACATTTTTCAATGAGGTCTTAAATCTCAAGAATACATCACAATTAGATAATTTCAATTAATTAAATCTTAACTACAACTTTTCCTCAGAGTTGTGAGTTGCAAAAGTTCATTTATTTTGCAGCTTTTCTTGGATAGCAACAATTCAGGGAATTACTTGGTTACTGTACTTCACAGCTTTCATAAACGAACTAACTTCAATATGGATTTCAAAAAACATTAACAATATAAAGCATGGGCCATAAAGCACGAAACAAAATGCTGCCAGATGAATTTATTAAGTTTACTTTTATTCCCTTGTAGCTCCCAGACATTTTCAGTAACAAACAAACTGATTAAGAAGGCAACGAAAACATGACAAATATAACACCGAGTACATGATAAGCCTCATTATTGTGTTTAAAACACATTTTAGAACATAGTGAATACACATTTTTATTGTGTATATTACCTTTCACAATAATACTTAACAAATTAATTTCAACTAGAAGAGAAGAATTTTGCATGCCGCTTTCTCCAGAATATTCAAATGGAAAGTTTTTATAACCTTACCCCATTTACATACGTAGGCCTTCTAAGAGACTTGTGTACGACCACCATTTCAGTTGAATCAGTTTTAACTCTCTTGTTCCAAAAGTCATCTATAGGACATACTTCTACTTGAACATAAAAGCTGAATGCTTCATTATTTAATTACTTTTTAATAAAGTTTTTTCAGCACTTTCAGCATTTAATACATTCTGTATTCTTTCAGTTTTAAATAATGAAATAAAATGAATAACTAAGCACAAACAGAACCTCTCATATCTCCACTCTTGGGAGGAGTAAGCTGTCCCAAAAGTTTGTTTCCTCTACTGAACTCTCTGGAGAAATTAAAATCCTCATGTTCTCCAGAGCAGGTGCCAGAAAAGATTAACACTACAGGAACAGACGTGGAAGTTAACAGGCATGTGGCTATCTCCTATCACCTGTTATAATTTAAGTGGGAATTATTTGTAGTCTTTGACTCTGTGACTGACTATCAAACAACTTTTAAACTTCCTTATCACGTTTGCCACATTCCTCTCCTCTGGGCTGAAAGGGGAAGAGCAGCTCATTTTCAGTGTAACAGATAACTGGCTTCTAAAGAAGAGACACTTATGCAGGAAAAAACAACTCAAAACATTAGAAAACTTTAAGGAACATCTCTCTTACAGAATAAACCATGGCAGGCACTAAATTCCAATTGCAAAAGAACTGTATTACTTCCCAAGACCCAGTTTTGTATAAATGGCTTCTAAGCACTATTACAAACATCAGCCAAGACACTGCCACCTTACTTTCCCAGAAATTTCAATTGTCATTATTTTGGGGAACTAAAAGTTAGCTCATATCTTACCACAGAGCCTCACTAAAAGAAATAAAAGGAATAAATCTATAGTTTTGGCAATTCTATTCAGAGTAAGTCCTTCAAAAAAGGACTGCAGAAGCTTCCATTTTTGAAAAAATGGAAAATAAAGCCATGCTTGCCATACTTTTACTATTTGATATTTTATTTCAGATGTCAACTTCCAAAACACAGATTTCTAGTTGTTACTTTAATCACATGGATTTTGTGATTGCCCTGTTTCAAAACAGCATGGGAAACCTCCATAAGCAGCACAGGTTTGTCTGACAAAAATCACTTGTTCACAGCATTGTCTCTTGGCACATTCTGACTGGAATATTGTAATGTCTGTCATCTTCAGTTATGAGAGTCACCACAGGCCAGTCCTCCTCTGGGTCATTGGGGTAAAGCGTGATGAACTCATCAGTGCTGTACTTATACAGTCGGTATACTTGGATGGTATACTGCAGAGCATAAGCAAGAAGAAACATTTCCACCTACATTGGAAAAAGCAAATATTTATGTAAAATTCAACATACCTTCTAAAAGAATTTCCTCATAAAAATATTAAACTAATACCTCTCAGACGTAATTCTTCAAAGACAAAAGTTATGAAGTAAGAAGTCCTACACATGAGAATCTCTCGTTCAGTATCTCCATCATTCCCCTCTATGATACCCCATACATGTAACAAGAAAGTCTTCAAATCCACAATGGCATTGTAGTAAAATAACCCTAAAGAAACACTGCTTTACAAACAGCGTCCTACTGCTGCAAGCGGGTAGGAAAGACATTCTCTTGCACCAGTGTTCATCAAACCAGACAAGAGCAGGTTTCAGGCAGTGATCCTTTCACTCTTATAGGGTACTTTGAACTTTCCAGCCAAATAAAAAGTAAAGTAAAAAAAAGCCCTTACAAAGCCTGCTAACAGGAGAAGGAATTCAGAAAAAGAAGCTGTAAAAAGCATCTACTTTGTCTACCACAGTGACAAGCATATCCTGTTCTAAGTAACAATTTACAAAGAATCTTACTGAAATAAACAAATACAGTCAACAAATACAAAGAACTGGCAACATAACTTCTCAACTAAACTGAGCAGCAAAGATGTCACCAATGAATCACTTATTTTCACAGAAACAGCAAACTCTCATCTATACTGCAGCTGTCAGGTTTTTAAAATAAGAAAACTATAACATAATACTTCCATGTTTCTAAAATCTACAATTAAGTTGTGAACTTGTAATGAATTCAATGGGATTTTTTAAATGGTTGTTTCCAAAATCTTTCAGTCTTTTCAACTCATCAGATATTCCTCATTTTGGTTTGGGGCTTTTTTGTAATGTGTACCATTTATGCCATGTATAAAACAGTAACTTTCATTAGCTTATCTGAATTCACCTGTGTATGTGCTACACATGGTCTTCAAAATTTGTGTACTAACTTTTATTGTGGTATTTTTTTAAAAGGTAACAGCTAAGAGATCAATACAAGTGTTGTATTAATAGCAACCCCTATTTCTAAGGAACACGGCCTGCCAGCCACCAGATAAAACCTGGTGTTTCAGATGAGGGCCTTTACAGACTGTCACTACAAGCAAGCAATTCTTCCCAACAGAAGACAAGATGCTTTAGTCAGCCCAGAAAAAGCTGAGAAATTTCTTAAACCACTTGAAACTAAAATCTCCAAAACAGGAAAATAACACTTTAAGAACAACTTCTCCTTACTTGTTCAAGGCCTCCACTGTGACCAATATGATTCAAGTGATTTTGCATTAACTGGCAAGGGTTGCTGGATGTGTCCCGTGCAAACAGGAGCCAGGAGAAGACAGGCACTCTCCTTCCACTTTTATCAGCATTGTATAATTCAATGGCAGTGTTAAGCATCAAAAATTTCAGCGCTTCATAGAGACTATACTCCTCCTCCTCATTTTTAAACAATTCATCACAAGCTTCTTGTTTCTCAAGGGGACCTTTTATTTCGCTTATATTCTTCCACTGAAAAAAAAACCAAACAAAAACCAAACAATCACCCACCATCAGCATCAGGAAGTGCAAAAAGCCACTTCTGAGTTGTCAGACACTCAGCACAGATATTCAGAATTTAATTTATGAACAGCTTTTTAAAAACAATCAAGAATACTTCCACAACTGTACCCCAATCAAGGTCAGGCTGACTTAGTCTGATTTTGCTTAAATTGATCCATAAGCAAAGAAAAAAGAAGGGATGCTAGAAATTGCTGCAAGGTGGCAGAACAAATATTGTTGTTGGACAACATGCGTTAAGGTAATAACCTTTTTGTTTCCTGCACCATAAAAGCCTATATACTTGATATTCTTTACATTTCTGTTAATCAAAATGCATATTTCATTCCAACCCTCAAACTCCTGAATGCAGTATTCCAAATACTCTTAGAAGCCTTCATAAAAAGGGAATTTACATTCACAGTAAGACAGGAACAACTGAAGAGTTATTTAATCGGTTCCAGAGTTCCAAGAGGCAGAAAGCATGGGGCTAGGTAAGACAACACTTAAGGGCACAATCATACTCCTATGACCTAGAATAAATAAAAATGGAACAAAAACTATTCCTTTGAAACTACTTCAGTGTTCTCGTGTTTCTCTTTCCTTAACCTCGTCCAGATAGCAAAAGGATTTGTCTGCACATACCTAATTCCTTCAAATAAATACAAGAAGTAATAGAGGCAGAAAACTACTTTGTTACATTAATTTCTTCGTTTAATTAGGAGTTTTCTGCAGAGCTGCTTGCAAACTAATTCCAGCAGCAGGCCATTGCAAGTAGTGAAAGACCAGATGCCTCTCACACATCTGAACAGATAGTCTTTACTTGATTTTTCTGCAGTATACATACAGAAAAGGTACTTTCACTACTGAAAGCATCCTTATGCAAAATTCCCCACATTCAAAAATCTCTGTCACTTATTTGCAGGTGACCCAAGAATATACAAATACTTTTTCAACCTTTTTCCTTAGAAGTATTAAATACTCTTTTATTTCATCACTTATTTCTCCCATCCTCTTGCCAGGTTTCTGTCTGAGCTGCCACTGCTTGATCCAGTCATACTTGTGCAGCAAGTTTTCTGGAAGCTGGAAATTGAGAGAAAAGGCAGCTTAAGTTAAAAGTCTGGAAAAGTCACCAACCTGCATATTTTATATTTGTTAACATTTTGCACCTTCAAACAATACCTCATATATCCTTCTGAACAGATATCATAGTAAGATGACCAAAACCAAACACAACTGGCTTTGTTTTTTAAAAAAAATTAAAACACTCCCCCCAACAGCAAGCAGATAGATGACAGCGACTGTGTTTGAAAGCATTCCTGAACCAGCAGAAGAGAAAATTACATCCATCAGATCAGCCTGAAGTCTTGGTAGACTGAAAACTACTTCGTCCAGAACACACAAACTCTGTTTCCTTTTCAAGGAGCACAACTCAAACACTCTGGGACAGCTTTTTATTAAAGAAGAAAACAACTTGGGAATTCACTAATGCATCAGATCATGTTTTAGGCTCAGAGTGGCCTCTTTTACTGCTCATGTGCTACACCTATTCAGTTCAGAGCTTTTACACCTCACTTGAAGGACATCCTGGCAGTTGCATGTCCAGTTTTGTACTCTCATTTATTAACCCATCTTACTGCTAGAACTGGAAGAGCAACTTGTGTTTCACAATGGAGTAGATACTTTGTTAGAGCAGCACTTATGCCATTAGCCACGACCAGCCCATCTTCAGTTTATAATTTGAATTTATAACTTGAGTTTATAATTGGAGTTTATAAGGACCCCTAACTAGTAATGTGTTCTCATTAGTGGCAACCAAATATGTGTCAGAGAGGCACAGATCTTCTCCCACTCCAGCTTACCATCCTGTGCACATAGAACTAAATAACCAAAAATCATATGCCAGTAACTTCTATAACTACAAATGTGCATGGCATCACCATTTTAAATTAAAAACAAGGAAAAAAACAAAAAACAAAAAAAACCTGTTATATTTGTACTGCCAGCTGTCACCATACACATTTCTTACGTGTCTTTTGCTTTGATGCATAACAGTTTATCATTTCAGTTTATTTTGTAGGTGTACAGCCTTATCAAAAATGTTAATTATCATATGACAATTTCTTCTATGAATCAGTAGCAAAAAAAAAAAGTATGAACATCATTAAAAACTTCAAAGTATAAATTTTTTTTAAAGTTTGCATGCTCTTTACAGAATCATTGGGAAACTATGTTCTTTAGTCTCATAACATGGAAATGGTTGAGAGCTGAAAGAGTATGTTTTTTACAAGAAGGAAACCATTTTGCAATGCACTTGCTGTCAAACACCTCATAAAACCATCTTCATCAGTAATTACAAAAACACAATCACAAGATATGTACTTAAAAATTATAGTGGCCAGAATGAGAAATTTTCAGATGCCCTCTAAAGTGATGCAAAAAGTTAGTAAGACCAGTGTGATTCTACTTGGACTGCTACCCTACACACAGAGTCTGCATCAGAAATTCATTATTTATATTCCCATCAGCATCCTGACAACTGGAACCTTACTCTTCTCAAGTGGCTTGCTTTTGCATAGGCAGCTTCTTACATGTTATTTCCATTTTCACCAATAACATCAAATGGACTTTGTTGACACAAAAAAATTCCTGGAATATTCTTCTTCTACTTATAGGAGAATACCTTGCTTTTCTCATACACCAGCACTCCACAAGAACTGTTTTTTGTGTCAGGTTGGAGTTGCTCTTATGCTTATTTTAAGCAATATTTAAGACACAGGTAGTTACACACATTCTGCAAAGCCTACATCATCCAATTTGTTATTCCACTTTCTAGAGAAACCATATATGGCACACAAGAATAGATATTATAATTTTGAAAAGCTGGGGGTTTCTCAAATGTTAGAATAAATTATCTGTATTTTTTATTATTGCTGGCTGTCTTGTGGAAAATCTCTTGCTGCCACATTACATGCAGTAAGAAGAAACCAAGAGAGCAAGATTAAGACAAATGACAATCCAGTAAGCACTACAGTAACATTTATATCCATTATAAACTGGAAACCAAGGGAACCTGGACTCAATTCTACGTTGAAAGAGTCACTGTGCACAAACAACAATCTTGAACATTACAACTTTTCAGTTCAGGGCATACTGACAAGTGAGCATATACATTGCATAAGAGAGAAGTGAGATCATAAAATTATCAAATAGGTTAGACCCAATATTACTCCACTGTCAGATCAGTTTGACGCGTACCATAGTAAAATCCTCACTCTGCAGCCACATTGGTAACTGTGTAGCTTGGCTTAATGCCTGGAAAAGAGTTGCTCTGAAAGCACAATAGTTATCACCTCGTATTCTCCTTATAGATGCAAACTTCTGAGCAACTGCTTCATATCCCTAGAAAAACACAAAATCCAAAGACCATGAAATCATTAATAGAACATTTTAAGGTCACACACTGGTAACATAAGAGATATCAGAATATTACCATCCAAATACTAATGCTGTTAAAAAAAAACAAAACAATGTGACCTACTATCCCTTTTGGAAATTCAAATGCTTTTGGGTCACAAATTACGCTCTGGAAAAAACAACTTAGTTCTGCTGAAAAACAAACAAGAAACTGAAGAAATCTAATAGATAACTGTTTCAGGTATTTGTTTGATGACAGAACATTAACCATTGATATATGGATAGCTAACTCACCTAGATTTCCAAAAAATATCCAACATACACACATGAGACTATGTATCATGCTTAAAAGGAATTTCAGCAGTAGTTGATGCTACTTACCCAATCCATGGCACATGTAGTTTGTCTCTGCCTCAGGGCAAGTTTGTGTTTACACTGAAATACCTTGACACTAGCCTCAGCACATTTGTTCCCTCCCTGCTGTTCCCATACTCACACCTGTAGCAGAAGCCACAATGCTGAAATGCAGCTTCTGCAGCTCAGCCTGGCAAGGGCCAGTGCCCTGTGTGTCCATATTTCTTACAGTAATCTCTTGAGGGAGGCATGTGGAGTTTTTGATTTTTGTAAGGTATCTTTATGTTTGCTCATATGTATCACTACATTTTTCAACATCTTTGCTTTATTTTCTATCATTCTAGATCAAGATTAATATAAAAAATTAGTTCAAAAACTGGTAAAAAAAATCTCAGGAAAAATTTTAAAAACCCATGCAATTCACCACTTTCAGTCACCTGCCTTCCACCCAAAAATTTGGTAATCTGCTCCGCACTTCAACAGTCCACAAAATGAGCATTTTATGTCCATAAACAAAATTAAAAACTTAATTTGAAAACAGTAGCAAAGGACAGTATTAATCAAACCCCTGAATTATCAGCAAGTAGCTTTACTAAAAACACATTTGAAATGAGCATGAAGAAAAGCATCTGCCAGTTGTAAGACCTCCCAATGTAAAACACTGCTACTGCACTTCCTATCTTAAAAGACTGACTGCACAGGAAATCCTAACAAAATTCAACAAAAATAGAACTGCTACCTTTCTCATCCTTTTTGCTGCTGGTGTATTTCCTCTCCATTCCTTTCTGCAATAATCCATGATGTCCATTTCAGGTGAAACACTTAGTTTACGTTCTTTCAAAACGGAACATGCAACATTATAAAGAAAACAGAAGAAGGTAGAAAGCACATCAAATTTCTAAATACACTGTCACTTTAAAATAACTTCAGTGCCAAATGAAACTGGCAGCACAACCTGTAGCTACTAAGTAATTATTGCTGTGGGAGGGGATAAAATCAGTTTGTTCTGAAAATTAGGTGTGAAGAAAAGTTATGATGTAGTTCAACAAGATAGGGAACACTCTGTTCCTCTCTTCTGCAAAAATTAATTGCCAAAGAGGAGAAATTAGTAAAGTACTCTCCATTTTCTTAGCAAGCAAAAATGTATTTGACAGGAGTTTCCCTTTTTCATGCAGCAGCCAGACTATAAGGGAGAAAGACAACAGACCTTTCTTTGTCAATGAGTCAATAACAATAATAGGAAGAAGAGCTACAGTTTTGCCTTGGAATCCCAACAGCCTTCATCCCAAAACAAGGTAGTACTGAGGTTTATCAAGGCATGCCAGCATCAGATGCTGCTATGATGACTATGACTAATTTTCAAGCATGACACTCATAACACAGACTATGTGACTGCTTTCCCAAGAACTCAGATTCACTCATAAAGTTACTACAGAAACACAGGGAATTATATATTAAGAGCAGAGAATCTTTTTCATCTTTTTATGAATCAAACTGTACCGTGTACTCGGTCTTAAGTAACTGCTATTGAACACAGACACTTGTGCAAAAAAGTCCCTGGAAAAGAGGGTGTTAGGACTTGACACATCAGTGCTACAGTGAGTTGCAATACCATACTTGAAACTTCACACAAAGTTCAATTGTACCTGATGAGTTTGTGCCACGAAGTAGCATTTTCTCTCTCTCTATTTCCTCTTCATCACGATACATGTCCTCCTCACTGCAATAAAAATCAACATATAGGTCATGTAAAAGCACAAATCCTACTCTTTTTCAACCTCTTCCCCTTCTTACAATTCAAAAAAGTATGTAAGTCTTTATGCCATTTTTTTTCAACTCAATTTGCTTTTCATCTTACCCATTTTCATAGAACCAACATTAGCTCTCAAAAATAAAGTTTAGAAAACCCTCTCAACTGCTCCCCTCCAGAATCTGCCACTAGGCTGGTAATAAATCATTGCCTGAAATTCTCTTCTGTGGTTGAATGTATACTACAGTCCCTTCCTATTTCTACATTTCACAGCATAAATTTGCAAAAGAAACAAGCCAACATGTCTCTTTGCTGCGAATATGAATAATTCACCCTATGCATGCAGCTAAAAGCACATTATCTACAGAGCTTTGTATCTACACACCACTGACACTGACCAACCTGCCTTGTGCTGAGCAGAATACATGACAAAATACAATGGAAAGTGGCAAACTACCTCCATTTAGTTTGAATGTTACTAACTCAAAGGAGAATTTCTACCATGATCCAAACTGCAGCTTACAGACTAGCTGAAATCCAGAGAAATATTTCTTCCTCAAATAATATGGGCTTTTTGGCCAAGGTACATTGTAAAGTACCTGTATCTGAGCATATATACAACCTTCTGAAGTCAAGTTATGACCATGACAGAGGAAATTATTCCCTACATACAAGTACAGTACAAGAATATTGCATAGACCAGCGTCTGCAGCTTCGATGAGAGCATTACTGCTGAAAATGAAGGTCCAAACAGTGTTCAAAAAACTGACTGCAAATATCACATTCCGTTCCTGAGAGGCATTTGTCATATAATTACATCTAGCAAATAAACTTCTAAAAATTAATCACAGCCTCACAATTAAAATACTTAAAAATACATATGTCACCAGCCATAGTAGTATAATTTAGGCACAACACTAAAAGAAGTTTACATTGAAAGTCTGTTTTTCAAAGAAAGTACATAAGCAGAAAAAAGCTGCAAGGTTACTACTTACTGCCCACTTCTATTAGTAGCTTCTAATTTACTCCTCAAGAACACTCCAAATCCAAACCACAGTCTGCCTCCAAAGGACTAGGAAGAAATTAAGGCACATCTTACACCACTAAGAGAGGACAAGCAATTAGGAAGACTATGAAAAAGAATTTAATGTAGCCAGATGGTAATTGGATTACTTTCATTAAACTTAAAAGGACTGACTACTAAATGATGGCTCTGTATTTCTTTTTCTGTATGTCCAAACCAGCTTACTCAAACCATCTGCATATATCTCCCTTGAGAACAAAAAATCCTTAGTATAAAGAGCAATGTAGGTTATTACCAGGAAACTCATCTACTGGGCTGTCATAAAAAAACTTGTTTAGTTTTCACTCACATGCTTAAGTAGCTGCATGAAAACTTATTTTTAACAACACTAAATAGTTATCAATTGAAAGACAAACAATAGATATAGCAGGTATCAAACACAGTACTATCTGGTGAGAAAAAACAGAGAAATATTTGAGTCAAGTCCACATTTGTGATACACTGTGACACTAGACAAAGCCTAATTTCTCGGCAGAGTTTAAAGTCCTTTATGGTTCTTGAAGACTTTAAAGAATACTTAATAATCTTGAAAATACTGTGAAAAAACCACACAGCTTGTGTGTGTGACAGCAGCAATCTCTAGCTTATCTTCTGTATAAGCCAAGTATCAAAAATATAAAGCACCAATCTCCCCCTCTGAGCATGAAGAAACCCGCTGCTACAAGAAATCCCACAGGGAGAGAACTCGTGTCAGGGCAGGGATACTGCTCCTTTGCGATACAGCCTGGAATAAATTCAGCATAAGATGCAGAAAGAGAAGAAGTGCTCAGCTGACTAAACCAGTGAGGTTACTCAAGAAAGAGGAAGTTTGGTGTAAAAGAAGCAGTGCCATGTCCCTTCTACTGATATTAAACCACCTTCTTTCTGGAAGACAACAAAACAGAAGCAGCCAGACTGGGAACATGACAGATTAATATCCAGAGTAAACAAGGTATTGCAATTCAAGAGAGTTGTTTTGAAATCGAGGTAGGCAAGAGGCGCAATCCATCTGCATAGGCACTCCCACTCCAGAGATGAAAGTGTGTCATAACACTGTTGCAGCACAACGATTGTTAAGTAAATCTGTGGAAAAAAGAACGTGGGAACTAAAGTTTTTCCTCATTAATCTTCAGATAAATATTTGACAAATATGGTGAAAATAAAGTAAAAGTGGAAAAGAATGATTAAATGAAAATATGCATGCACAAAAGAAAAAAATAGTGCAAAAAGTTGCATGTAAATACTTAAATTGTTGAACTAGTTAATGGGATTTTCCTGAACCAAAGATACCAAGGAAAAAATATCATAAATTTACCATCATGAACTGAAAGCATCCTCCCTTTCTACAGGAAAACTGTTCATATATTTTAAAAAATAAATCCTTACCTCTCCTCAGATGACTCCACTGTTGAACGGTTACTAGACACAGGTACATATAGTTCACAGTTTTTGGATGCATCTTGATCCATCACAAGAAATTTAATCATATCTGTCTTCTCACATCTCCCACAACTTCTGTATACACAGTCTTGTCTTATTTCTGATGTTGTTTGCTCTTCCTGGTCTGCAGCTGCATTTGCTGAGCCAAGTTCCTCAGAAGCAACACCAACTTCTTTTTTATGCTTCATCAGCTGTGTGGGAACACTCTCTTTTTTCTCTTCTGCACCTGCAGAAAAGCTGGTTGGTTCTGTCATCCAACCTTGAAGATTATCCTGGCTTTGAAGAATGAAAAAATATATGAAGAGTTTCTCTCCCAGAACAAAAGCGTATCTTTCAGGAAAATTACAATATTTTAAGAGTTACATTATATTTTGAGCATTCAGAAGGTACAAAAATAATGCAAAACCAGAAAGAAAATCCAGAACAGTTTGCTAAAAAAACACAATATCCAAGCTGTTTTCTAACTCACTTGCCTGACCACCATTTCTTAACAAGGCTAAGCTGTACCAGTTCCTCAAAAACAACCTGAACAAGAATTAGTGCCCTAATTAAACACCTGCTATCCTTGGGGTGCATTATCACCTAAAGCCCCAAGGACTAACAGAAATTCTGAAGAAGCAAGTTTCAGTCCTGCAAGAAAGCAGTTTTTACAAACTCACCTGGTGCTCTGTGAGCATCCACTGCACCAGGATCATTGCTTAGTGCAAAACTTTCCAATCTTTGTGTCTTCCCATATGATCAAGATATCGAGAAAGGATGTCTACAATCCATTCTAGCAAGCTCTCCAAACGTTTAGGATGTGTCCATATAGTAAATTTTCACGGAGAGTTACCTTAAATTGACACATAATCCTGCCTGAAAGTTATGGGTTGCTTGGCAGTTGTCACATTAATGCTCTAGACAATTAGTGGCTACCTAGGCCAGTTACCTCAGAGCTCACAGACTTAATATCCACTCTATAAACCTTAAAACTGCACAACACATTTCCATTTCTATGTTAAAGCCTTCCACCTGCAACATATCCTTGTTTACTAACATTACAGACCTTCGGCACCCAAGCCCTGACACATACCAAGCTGTCCCATAGCACAGAGCTCAGGACTAAAATTCACAGAACTGCAGTGCCCAGGGCTGGAAGGGACTTTAAAGGGCACCTAATTCCAATCTCCCTGCTGTGGGCACGGACACCTTCCACTAGACCAGGTTGTTCAGAGCCCTATCCAGTCTGGCCCTGAACACTTCCCAGGACGGAGCACTGAAAACTTCTCCGGCAACCTCGTTCCACTGCCTCACCACTCTCACAGTAAAGAATTTCTTCCTAATATCTAATCCAAACTTACTCTCTTTCAGCTGGAATCACTCCTCCTTATCCTGTCATTACCTGCCCTTGTAAAAAGTTCTCTCCATTTTCCTGGTAGGCTCCCTTCAGGTACCGGAGGGCCACAATTAGATCATTCCAAAGCCGACGATCAACCTCGCAGCTCTACTGGGGACTCGCTCCAGCAGCTCACTGTCCTTCCCGTGCTGGGGCCCAGGCTGCATGCAGCACTGCAGCTGGGGTCTCACCACAGCGGAGCAGAGGGGCAGAGTCCCCTCCCTAGACACCACTGACCACGCTGCTCTTGACCTAGCGTCGCACTCCACGTCCCGATTTCTCCCGTCCCCGCTCCCCGGGGAAGGACGGCTGCGCCAAGCCACCCGTGCCCGCCCGGCGCAGCCGAGGGAGGCCTCACCTTTCCGCCCGGCACCGCTCCGCGCCGCCGCCCCAAGCCGGCAGCCCCCGTCGAGCCCCGGCGGCCGCCGCCGCGTCGGGCCCGAGGGGAGGGCGCGGAGCTCGGCCCGGCCGTCTCCGCTCGCCGCTCATGCCGGCGGGGCCCCGCTCCGGGCCCCGGCACCGCCGAGGGCCCGCCCGGCCCCTGTCCGGCCCCGCAGCCGCTTCGGCCCCGCTCCGGGCCCCGGCACCGCCGAGGGCCCACCCGGCCCCTGTTCGGCCCCGCAGCCGCTTCGGCCCCGCCGGAAAGGGCGGCCCTGCCCGGACACGGCCGCCCCTGCGCGGGGAGTAACAGCTGTGAAGCGAAAGCCGCCCCGAGCTGGAAGGCAACTGTAAGTGCTCATAAACGGATGAGAGGGCGGAAATAAGAGTTGCTTTCCGGCTGCCAGACGTTCTGTGTAAAAGGAAGTGCTCTAAGAATGCAAAGTGTGTGTGTATGTGTGTGTGTCTGTGTTTGTGTTTGGAGCTCCTATGGAGCTTGTCAGAGGCTGGAAGTCTCTTCTGGGACCAGAGAAATACATCACCGCATTCTGATACACATTTATGAAACTTCAGGCAGTAGAGAAGCGCACATGGAGAGTAGATAAGAAGCGTTTAGAAATTACATGCTATCGAAACATACTCATTGGAATAGATTGCTATTATTTATTAATCAAATTTAATACAATGTGGTTGCTGAAAGTGCAGAAAGGCCAAACCGCAGTATCAGGCTGTACAAACAGGAACTAGAACATCTCCGTATTAGGAGATATATACTGTAAGTTGCATAACACGTATAGAACCATTGCCTGCGCACTCACATCGAGAATGAATTCCCGACCGAGGAAGACTACAAGCCTTCGTCCCACAACCACCAGGAGGCAGATTACGACCACCTAGCAACTAGCGGCACAAACTCAGATGCAACCCAGGAAGATTAATGAAGACACGTATACAGGAAATATGAACTGTATATAAGGGGAGAAACTTCGTCAGCTAAGGCGCGTGCCCTTGGTGGAGTGGAGACCCCCCGGCTGCCCAACGCTGTCTTTGCTGAATTAATAAATTGATTTTCATGAATGATCCTTTAATTTGGCTCGTTGATCTTGTCACTACAATTTATGACACCCACTATTAAAAAAAAGACCAAAAAGACAAAAGCCCCAAACCAAACAACCCCCCCCCCCAATAACCAAAAAATCCCACCCCAAAAAACAAACCAAAAAAAGCCCCCAACAACAAAACGACAACAAAACCCCCAAAACTCAGAACAACAGATTCTGTACAGTGATAGAAAAGTCCACTGCAGTTTAGGCGTTGGGGGGGTGGGGGGGGGACGGTGTCTTCACATTGAAATTTGGCCTAAAAATGAAGTATTTGTCTTCTTTCTGAAATTTCCCTCATAAGAATGTGTTTTCTCTGACTATGACAAATGATGCTGAGACTGGAGGCAAATAACTACTACTACACGTCCATGATAAGTAATTTGTAACATCATGAAACTTAATATAAAACTGATTGACATTTTTATAAACAAGTCTTTTCTGTTTCTTTTATCATTGAGATGTGTGGAAGTATCATGAATGTTTGAAGAAAAGTGAAAAAAACCCACATTACATTAGGTCTCTTTTAATCACTGCTCTTGTCATAGATCAAATTCATGTTGGACTGCTCTTGACAATGACATCTCCTTTGAAAAAATCACTTTGTTTGAACAGTTTGACTGACAGGTTTGTCTCAATATGCATTCTTGTTTCCCACTGGCCATTCCAGAATTACTCACTATCAAACAGGTAGTCCACTTGAAATGTACCCACCTGTTTCCCATGTTGTCATTGTTTAAATAATTCAGATTTAGTAGCATTTAAGAACGATTACAGTTGCCTCCTTTTTAAGGTTAGGTACTTTGGTTGTTATTTACCCACTTTTGCTGTTCTCTCAGCAATTTTAAGGCAGAGATGTTTTGGCTGATCATTTTACAGCCCTTCAGAGAACTACAGCACAGAATAGGTGAAGCAGCAAGCTAGATCTGTTTCATCATGATAAGCACAATAGAGCGTTGCAAAATGACCCTGCCAAATAGTTGAACTGTGCCTGAGTTATGGAGATGAAATTTTCAAATTCTATGCATGTTCAATTTGGAACTGCTTCCTTGAAAGTTCCTAAACAGCAACTTGTATTTCCCTTTTCAAGAAGCATTAGATGAAAACCATGCCATGATGTCCTATTTCAGCCTGCACTACAGTAATACGTGCCTTGTGAACTTGAGAGAATGAGTGCAGTCTCTATCATTTGGTATTTAGCTGCTTACAGATAGGACTTATTTCAATCACAGGATTAAATGTTTTGGTTTTTTTTCTCTGCATCACAAAAAGACCAAAACTAAATACTCAAATAAGGTGTTTCCTGATGAACGTTTGTATTTGCATTAACTGAAATAAAGTATCCCAAATGTCATCAGCTGAAAAAATAAATTTAACAGAAAAATCTGCTCTCTCTACCCAATGCTCTGCCCAAGAAAAACTGGAAAAAAATTCATAATCTTCAAATTGGATATATGCCATAGTTGAATTGATAAAGGGACTATTCATCAGTTTTGCCTTTATGTAAATTACTTATAAAAATAAGGTTTCTCTCTGCCTTTTATAAACAATGTACTGCAAGCATATTTGACATTTATTTTCTCAGCAAGGGGCATTTGTGTGTATAGTGTTGATATGTAGTAGATATGCCATACATATGATATCTGGAAATATTGGGTAAGTTACATGACACGTTTCACAAGATCAAGTCTGGCAAAAGAGCTGTGTATTAGTCATTGCCTTCCAGGTCGCCAAAATTTCATGAATAGTTTTAGCTTGCAAACTAAAACCAAAGTCTTAGCGACTGAAGGCAGTAGCTGTCTGCAAACATGCAACACTAAAAAATTTAATACTAAAGGAAAAGAAACAGGCATAACGAAAGTGCAGTATTTATACAAATATGTCTACAATAATGCAGGTTGAACAAAGCAAAACATATTTCTTTTCACATTACGAGTACAAGCAAGCAGAAAAGACAAAAGGACTTCAGCATAAAGTCTTGAAGTTTGCTTTCTAAAGACTGTGGAAATGATGAACACTTCTTTTTTCTGAGGTTATTTATTTCTAAGCAAACAGACCCCTCAAAACCTCTGTGATTTGTATACTCAGTTACATATTCTAGTAAGTATGCTTATTTTAAAAAAAGTCTCATTTGCTCAAATTATGTAATATTTCTGAACAACAGGTTTACCTAAACCATTCAGTGCACTAGATAAAACAGCTGTGCAATGCTTAATTTTTTATACACAGCTGCTTCTAGTGTTTTGCATGGATGGTGGAGAATGTCCATCATATTTACTTTAATTTAGAGCTTGGTCCCTACATGATCAATCATATCCATTAAAAATGTTGTATTTTCCAATAGAGCCAGTTGCCCTTTTTAAAGTCTTCAGAGCACAGGTAGAACCTTGCTTTTCAGTATTAGTAAATAAAAAATGTGTGTGAACACATGAAATTTGAAAAATATTGAAATTACAGATCATAAGAAGATTGTTCAAAGGATTCTGTTGAGTTTCTGAAGTTAGTTTGAGAGAACAATGTTGACTTAGTCATAGAAAAAGTCACTGTATATTAAGAATAAGCAAGACAGATGTCTCTGTTCAGAAGAAAATGGAGCAGCTGTTAGCTTCTCTTGAAGATATTAAAATACTCATGCCACTCTAAGATTATTATTTTTTGAGAATGGGGCTTAAGACATGTAAGTCCAAGATATTTTTATTATTTCCAAAACACCTAAAACTTGTGTTTTCAAGCTTGTATCCTCAAAGTAGGCAGTGAACTAAGTATCACTAAAGTCTATAGTAAAAACCACAAGCCATGCCTGTTGTCCTGTATGTGATCTATTAGTAGCTCAGACTATTTCACTTAGAAGTCTAATTCTTCTGTTGTGATAATTCCCAGTGGAGTGTCCGGATAGCTCCTATACCTGTGGGAGAGGTGAGATTCAGCCTGAATCTCTTCTACCTGAAAATAACATTGAGATTTCAGTTCTCAATCCCAAGGTACTGAGATCAACACCACAATCATGTAAATCTGAATGAAGATCAGCAAGCACTAGCTCTACTGTAATGCAATTGTGTGTTATAAGAGGAACTCATAGTCTTGCAAGAACACATCTCTGTGAACCTGGAATGGGTTCAGCAGTTTACTTCCTACTGTAAGTTCCCTATATATTTTACTAAGTGTAAGGTACAACCACTAAGCTTACTAACAAACTTCATCAAAATACATGACAAAGACATTCGGTACAATACATATTTTGTAAGTCTGAAATATTTGTGTACTTGGTACTTTCTGGTAAAGGACAACAGCAGCTCAGATTTTGATACAAAAAGAACCCATTGAACACCATGAGAAAATATATTTTTTTAACCTTATTTGATGCATCTTAGCAAAGAACGTGACAACTGCTGGCAAGCACTAAGCTAATTACATTGCACTACTTGAAAATTGCTCCACATTTTTCAGGATTATGATTAGAAACCTTTGGGTGATCTGTTCTTGTGACTAGAAGGGAATGCTGTTCAGAAGAAAAATAGATGGGGAAAACCCACCAGTAAGAGTCAAATTGGCAATAAAATATCTATTATATACTTGTGTCATTATGTATTACCCATGAGTGTTTTCTTTCCTTTAGCATCCCTGAATTTGTTAGAGGTTTTGGAGATGTATTCCTAAGAACATACATCTCCTCC